ACATCTTCAACAGGGCACTGGGAAGGGAACACACCAACGAATCCGTAATGCATAAATACACAGTTTTTCTTATTTTGTTACTACAAAAAGGATTTTAGATATGTATTTTAATTAGATATAACTGTGAACTGTATAAAAATGCAGACTACCATTTAAATAAAGATATTGAAGCTATTCTGGTTAAGTAAAGTCTGAGAACTGTGCACTATTACAAAATAATGATGTAAAGATGTAAGAGCTTGCAGCTGAAGACTGCAAAATTTGGGTCTAAATTTATTTTATTTTCCGTATGTTACTGGTCAAACATCATAGACTAGTCAAGGCTGTATTTACTTACAGGCTCTGTCAGTGAATATCACCAGGAATCTATTCTGTCCTTTGGGATTTGGAAATAATATATGGATCAAGTAATTGTGTCCTATGATCAAGACGTAGGATTCTTCCCACTTCTACAACTCTGCAGCTTAAAGAGAGGAACTTTTTTTTTTAAAGATGGAAATAGACACCAAGGGCCCAGTTCCTGTGATCTAGTCTTCAGTGTTATACGTATATAGAAACGTGAGGCATAAGGCATGCTCTGTCACTTCTTTTTCTTTGATTAAAATCTGGTAACCTTATACTACAGGATTATCAATTTGAAACAACCTCCTTACAAAAATGGCTTAAAGTCATGGACACAATTCTGCCATTACTGGGCAAACAAAATCCGTAATGATCTGTAGTAGTACATAGGGTCACATGTTTATCTCCCTTTCTTGATTTTGCCCAAAACACAGGAGGGAAACAGAGTAAGAAAAGACATTTTGTGTATTCTCAATTATTACAATCAGTCACTCTCCGTAAATGAAGGCAGCTGTTATGCATAAGCAGCTATTACACATACAAATACAGTATGTTATTTCTATGATAATCAAATATATCTTATTGATCTATCTTAAATAAACTGGGCAGATTTTGTGTGCAGATGCATTTGTTGTAGAGTAAAATGTCTAAATTTGCAGAACCTGCATAGTTTGCACAAGAGCAGTTTGATATTTTCTCTTCTGAAACACTCACCTGTGACTGGAAATATTAGTAAAGGAAAAAACGGCAAAATAACAATCAATATTCATAGAAGTATCTGTTTTCACTGCTACTTTTAATATATTACAAAGTATTTACCTCAGATATTTCAAAACTTCTGTATACTTGGAGGGTGCTATTATGATGTTGTCTGAAGCTTCCTGCTGTAAGACATTACTTACAGTTTGTTACAGCTTTGCTAGAATTCAAGTATCCAGGACAAAATATTTCAGGACAGCTGTTTGTCTTAGACTGAGAATTTGTTGTTTATTTATTTATTTTAAAAAAACCCAACAAAACCACCCCAAAAATAACCAGACAACTTAGGTAGACCATTTCAGGGGGGGAAAAAAAAAATCAATTTTGATTTTAAAAAATGCATTTTTATGTTTTAAAAAAATCTGGTAAGGTTTTCTTTTCAAAGTGTACTACCCTCACATTTTATAAGATGGACTTGAAATCTGGGAGTGAGTACAGATCCTTTGCTACCTGTGGCCAAAGTTCTTAGCTGCTGAAACATCACAGTTGTTCAAGAATAAGACAACCACTGCTGGAGCCTAACTAACGAACACGGTAAAGCCTCTCTCAGACCTAAAAGCTGAACTGCATACAACCTCAAATGCAAATGAACATATTCCTGCTCCCAATATTTTTTATGCATTTTGTGTTGATCACTTTAAAATGCAAGTATGTAGCATTTGGTGCCTTTGGCCATATGCAAAACCAGACTGTACTGAGATTTAATAACTCTTCAGGCAAAGTCTTAAGTACAGAAAACACAGGTGTTACAAAAAGCTAAGCCACAGAAGGATATTTGGGAGTAGCTTAGCAAACAGACAAGAAGAAACAAGCTAGATGCCAACCATATACCCATGAAATCAGCTGGGAATTAGCGCAAGAGGGAGAAAAATGGGACCAGTCTCCCTTTGGGGCGAATAGCTTACTGTTATAATTTACTCCCTTAATTCTAATGAAAGAGAACTCTGCATCACAGCTCAAGTTCTAACTCTACGGCTAACATCTGTGTGTCTTTATTACATGAGGAACGCTAATTAGTCATCACTTGATTTAACTGATTTCATTAATATTAAATGGGAATTCTATGGCAGAAACAAAAATAAAATGTAATTCTCCTGAGTGGCATTTGACCATCACAATCATTTTCGCTCTTTCTGCAGTCCCATGCCCCAGTCACTAGAAAGATCCTGATTTCTGAAATAAAGTTGATGAAATCCTACAAAGAATAGGACTGCTTCACTCCCGAGTCCATCGCTAGAGTGTAAGAAAAAATAAACAGCACATCATCATGAACTTAAATGCTCATAATCATAATACATAGGTATAAAAGGACTGAAGTAGGATTGCCTTGATCTCCTTTATTTTGGCATTTCCTAGATTCTGATTCCTTCAGAATTTGAAACTTCAGTGAGATTTTAATGGAAATTATGTGGAAGCTTAATTTTTCCTTCTGTGATACAGAATAGTATACTGGGGAGGGTCACTGGTCTTTTGAAAGGAAGGGTATTCTGGTTGAGTATTCTACTGACAGAATAACAACTTTTCCTTTCACACTTCATCTCACAGCTGGAGGAAACTCATACCCCATCTAGGTACAAGGAAGCACAACAAATACCAAAATGACAGGCAGAAAAACAATAAAACAAAAAATCCACAGAAGTAAAAAGGGAGTTGTCCGATTACACTTACTTTCAAAAACCTCCAAATTCCTAGAGGCAATCTATGCCTACCTCCCTTGCATAAACATATCAAATACTTTGTAGTTCCTCTTCTATCAAAAAGGGAGTGAGTAACAAAGCAGCTATTATAAGTATAAGTCATGATGAAGTTTAAGAAAAGATTCAACATCAACATAGGAAAAAGTCCCTCTAAAGAGCATTCTTCCCTTATTACTTTCTAAACACAACAGTTTAATTTCCGAGAAATTTTAAGAATATTTCTTATAGCCACTAGAAATACAGGATACAATAATGTGTCGATCTGATGGATTCCGCTGACGTGTTTTTTCCAGTTGAGATAATTGCTTGGCTTCTCGGTTCTTTGCTGTTAAAGTTGCTTTAAGATCATCCTGGAAACAAAATGTTTTAGACATGTTTGAACTAGATCTAGGATAATACAAAATGCACTTTTCTTCATACATGCATTGCCGGGAAAATATGAACAAAACTTCTGCTTTAAACAAAACCAGATTTCACTGATCTTACCCTGTTAAATGATCCCCTGAAAGAGAAGTCAATGGGGACCAAGAGAGTTTAGCACCTTGCACAAAGAGAGTGTAGCACACACTACAATTTAAAATGTGGGAAAAAAAAGAAAAAGATATTTACAGCTTTTCATGAGAAGTACAGTAGATGGTCAAAAGCTGAGATCCCCAAAGCAGTAAGAAGTCAGGCCCATTCTGGGCTTAGCAATGGAATAAAGGTGGCATTTAGAAATAAAAAGTGGCATCAAATAAATCAGTAAGAAAAACCATAACAGGCAGCAGTCAGTACCTATCAGAAGTTACAAAGAACACAAAACTGCTACACAGAGCTTAAGGTGCCATACAAAATCCATGGCTGAAAGGGTTAAACTGCATATTTATATATGCAGTTAGTAAGGTGTTTAAATATATTTGGAACAAAATATATCCTAGTAATGATGTAGCTGGAGAAGATGAAACTTATTGATCTAGAAAAGGCAGAAACTGTTGATAAATACTTTTGCTCCTCACTTCCAAAGGAGAAGTAGGATGTACTTCTAGGAAGATCTGTGACAATTTAAGAACGTTTACATACCACTCTTGAATTCTGGTTCATGCTATAAAACTGTGTTCAGCAAATAGTTCGGCATACATGGAATCTAAAATTGTCAGTCAGATATTTATCACTCCATTGACCCTAGTATGGGAAATGACATTAATTTTGATGGCTCTAATTTAAAGGAGCAGTACCTTAGAATAAGCAGAAACACAGCCCGAAGGAATCAGTCTAACAAAATCTGAGATTGGAGTTGGGCATGCATTTCAAACCATCATTTTCTCTAAAAAGACCAGTCTTTTTATCTACCACTCCAGAAGAGAGTGGATTAAAGCTATCAAAAACTATAATCTCAGAAAGTTGTCTCTGCTCCTTCCCTGGATTTCAGAATTTCAGGTTGTAGGTCTCCTTCACCCAGAAAGACATGCAACCAAGAATGTGTCTCTTACAAAAAGTTCTGTGATCCTGTGACCAGATCACTAGTCAATGACAAGCACAAACATGCCAAGTTTCAGAGTGCTGTTTCTTCAATAACGAGTCTGTACATGAGGTCAGGATCAAAACATGCAGTTTCTTCCTTGTTTCTATCCTTACTGTCTGTTTGTTCTTAGTGATGTCATTTTGCTTCATCTTTAGGGACACAGAGCTGGTTTCTGATAATAAAAACAACTGCATCTTTAGCCCATCAAAACTGATTTTACTGCTGTTCTTTCAAAAGGGAATTTACACCACCTTTAAGGCCACCTAAAAGACTGCTGGAAAGGGCTTTCTCCTTTATGAAAAGCAATAACAGAAAAATTTTTTTTTTTGTTTCACATTTTAAATTTTGAATTAAAGGTAACGAAGGAGAAGAGAAAAACGCATTTATTTTTGCCATGGAACAAAGCAGTTTTGTATCTAATGGTCACAGGTGCATGTTTAGTGTTATTTAATAACTGGGCCCTGTTAACAGCACTGACTTTCTAGGCCCATTTAAAACAGTCAATCAGCTTTAACGCTGTGGCTGAAAGGGTTCTGACTTTTACGCAAAGTGTACTTGAGAATGCTAAGAAAACCACTAGAGTTACCATTATAAAATTCGGTATTTTCTTTCTAGCACACAATGACTTTGGAAATACCTACAGGGACTGCACTGTTCCCTTCTCTACCTCTGTTCTCCGTAGCAACAATCACCATCAAACATACTTCTCTGCTAGCCAAAGCCTGACGAAGACTTGTTGCTACTGTGGCTATAGTGGTGGAGCTATATACAAGTTTTGGATGTACAAAGACAGGGCACAGTTACATAGACATTTTGTCTAGGATGTTGAAAAACTGAAAACGGTGCAGAAAAAAAACATTAAAAAATATTCAAAAGCTAGGGAAAATGCCATTATGGTGAAAGAATTAAGGTCTACATTATTAGCTAACTGAAAAGAATGAAAAATGGGTTTTACTAGTATCCAAATACCTTCATCCAGAAAAAAATAGAACATCACAGAGCTCTTTAATCTCAGTGGAACATATAACAAGAACCAAAGATTAGGTGAAGTCTTTCATTTAAAACTAACTACCACAAACAGTCCTACATTCCCCTCCAGTGTCTTCAGACCAAGATTTGATACGTTTTTGGAAAATCTGCTTTAATTACACCCAAGGAGAAATGGAATGGAATGTAATAGCCAGTGAGATAAAGGACAGGTACAGAGAATATAAAATTATTCATAGTCCCTCTGGCTTTAAACTATGAATTCAAGTCACACATAAGAACTCTGGTCAGCCATCTAATTTCAAACCATACAGAAGTACAGCTATAGTCCACCCATCACACAATAAGCTGGCAGATCCTCATCACTGTACTGTTACCTGCTTTAGTCAATGAAGTTATTAAAGCAAACCAACCCTTTCTTCTGCAGGGGGATCACCTTGGTTTTACGATGTCCTGTTTTATATGAAGAAAAGGAACCAGGAACAGAGTTGCCAAAAAGCAGCAAAGTGAAGATTGATATATAGAACAATGAAACAGGAAGAAACCCTAAAATCCTACATTTAAGCTGTATTACAGGACAAGAATAGTATACTAGCTTCCACTGAAGCTGCCAAATCCTGCCCCAGAGACCTACTCAGCATAGTAAACCAGGACATGTGAATGAAACAATTTTATTGCATTAGCAGTTAAAGGACAACACTGTTCTGGTTGACCTGGGCCTCTTTAAAGCATTTAGTATCACAGGACATGGATTTCTTACCCCGCAGAAATAGCAACAGTTCTTTTTAGATACAGCACAAAAATAGTTTGTGTACACCCTAGAACAGATATAATAAGTAGCAGGAAGAACATCCCCTTTATAAAAAGTGCTATAATGACATATTCTGCCTGGTTTTACTTAATCAGCTAATGTAGTTACAGGTAAAGCAGTCCTACAACTAGCACCCTGTGCTAGCTTTACGTGAGTGACAAAAATTCCTTTTTCACTAAAAAATGTCCCAGTGTTTAGAGATGATAACTGAAGACAAGACAGTTGAAGTTTTAACCAAGGTTTATGGTAATGGACTGGGGGGGGAGGGGGGGAGGGAATAATGATTTAACAGCCTACATCTTTAGTGAAGGTATGTTGATAAAATAGTTAATCCCATCTACAGTTTAAGAATGCTCTTGTACTCCTCACTGTAGCTAAGATAAACATTATGTAATGCTTTCTGGCATTCTGAAAGGCAAAGACAACAGGAAATGCCATTCACTGTGGCAAGGGATGACCTGGCTTCAATTGCTTCTGTCCTCAGCATTTACTGGCTATCAGTGGCAATGCACCTCATGACAGTATCTTCAATGCTTCAGAAGCCCCAAGCACTGCTGTAGCGCTCTGCGTCTCCTCAGCAATGCTATTGCTATAAACACATTGTCCTAGTTTCAGCTGGGATAGAGTTAATTTTCTTCCTAGTAGCTGGTATAGTGCTGTGTTTTGGATTTAGTATGAGAATAATGTTGATAACACACTGATGTTTCAGTTGTTGCTAAGTAGTGTTTACACTCAGTCAAGGACTCTTCAGCTTCCCATGCTCTGCCAGGTGCACAAGAAGCTGAGAGGGAGCATAGCCAGGACAGCTGACCCAAACTGGCCAAAGGGACATTCCATATCATATGATGTCATGCTCAGTGTATAAACTGGGGGGAGTTGGCCGGGGGACAGCGATCGCTGCTCCAGGACTGGCTGGGTGTCGGTCAGCAGGCGGTGAGCGATTGCATCACTTGTTTTTTTTTCCCTGGGTTTTGTTCCTCCCTCTCTCTCTCTCTCATTGTTTTACTTTTCATTACAATTTGTTGCTGTTGTTGCTATTATTATTATTATTGTTATCATCATTATTATTATTATCTTATTTCAGGTATTAAACTGTTCTTATCTCAACCCACAAATCTTCTTACTTGTGCTCTTCTAATACTCTCCCCTCCCTCCAACTGGGGTGAGTGGGCGGCTGTGTGGTGCTTAGTTGCCGACTGAGGTTAAACCACGACACACATATAACTTGTCTTTCACCCTCAACATTTATATCCTATAAATACTCAGTCAATTCTAGGTCTCATAAACTGGTTTTCAGAGTGACTATTAAGATACCAAATTCTAGGATACAGGCTCTATAGTCTACCACGCAAGTGCAGGATGCATTCCTTCATAATTGTTTCTCTAACAACCAAATGAGATAGCTGTGCAGTAAGTTCCAAACACTGTACTTGTTTCTTCAGCATATTGAAAAGATACAAGAACAAAACCACATGAAAAATTCTAGTTTGAGATGCAATGCCACAATGTACTCAAATTAACCATGATGAACACACTGTAAGATTTTTGTATGTAAAATACCATCAAATAATGATCATTTTACCTTTTGATTTATATAGATTATGATACAGATATATGCATCACTTACAGATTTAAGTTCACAGGATGAAGGTATCCTCTCTGTAATATACAAGTATTAGAAAGAACTACTTTCATCCTATAAACTAGTACCTGCTTATTAAAATTTACTTGCTCAAGCTTATCCCTCCTGGAGGAAAGAAATTTACAGATATTTTGTGGGAATATTTCAAACTCCTACACACACTGTTTCCAGAATATAGTGAATAAAGCGACCTCAGTTTTTTGTGTATTTTCAGGTCATCCTGATGACTTTGCAGGACAGAGAGGGATTCAGGCCACTACCTATTTATCAGTTTCAAAAAGTGTCTTCTACATTACGAACTGCAATGTAGAATGCAATTCTAAGTTAGAAAAGCTGCTAAAGGTAGCATATATATGACTAAGAGCCAAAAGCATTACATGTAATTCACCTTTCAGAACTCTGAGGAATAATAATAAGAATGACATTATTTATAAAGAAAAACGTCCTGAATTTGCACTATCCAGGAAGTTTCACACTATCCACAATGCCTTTTTTTAGCATTTGCCTGTGCTCCAGGAGTCTGAATATCGTTGTATTCACATCAAAGCTTTTTCCGCCAACATATATATAGCTTCAATTCAGATGTATTACTATATAATTTAGTTAGACTGATTACTGCAATATGAAAAATCAGAACTACTCCCCCCTGTAAAGTAGAAGTTTTCAACTGAGTGGCCAGAACACCAAAATGTACCTTGTGAGAAAACAGACGTTTAACCTACCCTTTTAAGTTTCACTATGGTCCCGTAACTTTTTAGAGGTTCAACAACCTTGGCTTCAAGCCTGTCAACCTACAAAAGAAATCACAAGGTCACTGAAATCATCCACATCTATGATGTGCAAAAACAGGAAACAATTCATTTACTAGTGACTCATCTTATTAGGAATTTAGTCCATATATGCTGAAAGTATAGTGGGATGGAGGTTTTTAAAAATATTGCAAAAAACAGATCCAATTAAATTAACCAGTAAATCATGTGTATTTTGAGGACCTCAACCTGATTTCTAGTGGAATTCCTTTTTCTTCATTGGCAATACATCAGGATAAATAAAACATGGAGATTCTAACAACTGAGTACTAAATACATCGAACACTGCATCTTGGAGATATGTAGCTTTCTATCTCAAGTTAAAGAACAATGTATTTGCTCTACACTTGTTGATAAGATTATGGACTAAGCCATCTTTGCTATCAAACATACTGTACGAAATACAACACTTCTGGTCTTAAAAATAATGGAAACAGCATTGTAGGTGCTGAAAATATTAAAAATACCAACAACAGGTTGTGTAAAATGCATAAATGCTCTCACAGATGACTACATCTGAATTTTTATTTCAGTACTCCTAGTTAGAAAAACAGCTACATATGGTCAGAGAGGCAATAGGATAAGACCTGTCTGCTTGTCAAAACTGACAATACTGCCCGAGTGGCCCCAGCATAAGTTGCCAATGACTTTGGACCAGTGAGTCATCTGGCCCGTCGCTGTTATGTCCAAGTTAGGACAAGGTGCATACCTCTACTAGGAAGGGACAGACATTACACTCCCCTCTAAACTGGCAGTCACCAGTCAGCCAAAATCTATGCCAACTGAAAAGCATTTCTACTTCATTAATATAGAAAGATGACTTGCAATGCTTCCTTTAAAAAAAAAAAATCCTATCCGAAAACATCAAGAATGTCAAGTACTTTAGTCTCTTTTTTAAATTATAATGGTTCTTAGCTTTTCAAAGCTATAAGTGGGAATATGTCTATCTATATACATAGAATAGATATGTATTCCAAAAAGTTTGAGTACATGTGAATGTATTTATTTTTTCTTAAATCTCAGCATTTGGAATTCTGGATCATAAGTTACAGTTTGACTGGTCCCGCACATAGATGTGTAAGTGGCATAAACTCCTTTCTTTATACTCTCACTTATCTAGCAGAAATGTGACTATATTGTCACACATAGTCCAAATCAAATTTGTACTTTTAGTGTGAACTACAGACTTATGAAATCTACAGCCCTCAGAGGGACTGTCAGTGTCCAGTGAAGTATTCCAGTTAGTATTCTCCTCCATACTGCTTCTGATAACAGCCTCAGCAAAAGAAAAATGACTGATTTTACTTCAGCTGCTGCTAGACAACTCAAGTCACAAAACTAAAAGAACACTTTATTAACCATAAATCATAATCCAAAGTCTAAGACCAATGAAAGACTTGCTCTGTCTCAAATTCTGTGAGTGCTCATACAGATAGCTTCACTGACTTCAATAGGACTAATCACAGACAGTTTTCACTAAAGTTATTAGCAGAGTAAATGATGAATGCTTTGGCAGCCTATCCTGCTCTGCCAGTAATATATTTAAAAGTTTTTTCTCCTATGTTTCTCTCGTGATTGCAGAGTATATATTCTCCCTTTTAATCACAGATAAGTTACTGAAAAGTTCAGATGGCAAACACAACATATACAGCTTTTAATTTTGTACCTCTGCCTGGCGATAATCCTGAAGTCTGGAAAATTCATCTGCAAAGTTTTTCAGTCCAACTTTTAAGTTTGGTGTCTCTGTGGCTGCATATGCATATATTTCATTTACTAGAAGATCTGCTTTGTCTCGTAGTCTGGCAGTTTTACGTACATATCCAGCAAATATTTGGCACAATTCACCAAAATGTTTTTCCACATTTGAAACAGCATCTTGTATTTGTCTAGTCTGATTGTCCCTGGACACCAAAGAAAAATAAGTGAAAAATAAAAAGGGGACAAATGTTTACGACACATACAGAAAAAACTATATAATTATACTATTACTAATTTATACATGATTTGGACATCTCATTTCAGTGCAAAACAGAAATCTATTCTTAAAAAGATAATGTTGTAACAGTCTGATGTAATATGTGCTTATTTATGAATAACAAACAAACAAACAAACAAAAGCAGGATTTATACTTAAAAATAGAGATCTTATAGAGGAAAACCCAGATCACAAAAATCAGCTTGGAAGTTTTCCTCCTGTGGTTAAGCAAAAGCTCACTATTACTGTTTGTATCAATTACTAACATAGTGGTAATGCCTGCAGGTCTAAAACAAGACTGGGTCATACAGCTTCCTGCAAAAGTCTGCAATCTAAACAGACAAGTCAATGGTTGGAGAAATTAGGCAGTAGAGGGCAAATCTGTAAATACATTAAACGTTCTTTAAGTCGTGAACAGGTGCCAAACTGCTCCTGGTCAGCACTACAGAGGATAAATATCCCTGAAAATTAGAGAAGAAAAGTGAATGGACACAAGTACAGAGGTGAAAACTCTAAAAACACAGAAAGGACATTCATCACACCAACAAATTATTTTCTTTTAAATTATGTTAATTTAATTCATTTTTTATTTGAACCAAATGCCTGTATGTTTCATTATTAATGAGCTAGATAAGTCATTATGAATTTTTAATTCATATATTTAACTTGATATTTTGCTTTCCTATTCCTACATCATTTGATGGTCTTCCTTTAGTTATGCTTCAGTGATACTATTAAACCAAATCAGTGTCAGTGAATTCATGCCATTTGTTGTTCTTCTGACTGAATCAACTACAGGACAATTCAGCTAACAGTAACTGCCACATACTGGGTCCTAAGAAGTCTCCATGGTCTACATGAGGTGATTCACATGAACTGCTGGAATTCTCAGCAAGAGAATTCACTCGTACCACTGTCTTGGTGAGGGACAGAAACGAAAAATTCCTTCATATCCTTAAGCTATCCCAACTCCAAATGTTGACCAGTATCTAAATATTAATTTAGCATCACAACACATGAAAATCAGAAAAAATGGAAGAAATTTAATACTTTAAGACTAAACAACAATGCAGTCAATTCAAATGAAGAACACCTTTCTTCAGGAACTCTTCAGGAAAAATATTTCAGGCCAAAGTTCTGCTACAGGCAAAAACCCAGTTGTGTTGCTTCATGGCAAGCAGTCTAGAAAACAACTGTTCAAAAGAGATTTTGTTCAAAGAAAAAAAAATTCCACGTAAGTTGTTCAGTACTCCAGGACATCTTGAGCATAGAACCATTTGAACAGGAAAGGTTCCACCCAGTGAGTGGGAAAGTAAAAGTCTCACTAATAAAGTTGTTTTTCAAAATTAGTACTATCTGATAAAATCTTCAGTAAAAGGTACATCTTTCCTATTTTATTGGAAGGTCTTCATGTCAGAAAGTGTTCCTCTGCCAGGGGCAAGCCTTAAGCACATTTCCTCACCCACTTTACAATTTTGATCTCACAGTACTCCCATGCAATATTTAATTTTGGGACATGAAACACTACATTTCCTTAGATGGGGACGTGAAAAGTTTTTTTTTTTTCCCCTCCTAATTATTTGTGACCGCTTAGAGGCGGCCACAAAATTATCAGCGAGAGGCCCGATTAAATCGGCAAGTCTTTACTTCACCTCTGCATAGCACACTAAGCCTAGAAAAGTTTTGCGGCCTTTACCTGAGGAAAACAGAGGCGGATCCCCCGCCCCTAGGGAGGTTAGC